GGCCCTTGCAGTTGGTTCACAATAAAATCTATCCCGGCGTCCAGGTCATACTTACGTCTGTAAAGCGACTTGGCTCTCAATATCCGGTTTAAATGTCTCTCCGTAATGATGGTTCCTTGCATTGCCAGGCTTTTCAAAATGCATTTGTAGCTCATTCCCAGCCTGAAATAAAACTCAATCAGACTGTCTCTGTCCATGGTGTATTTAGCCTACTCTTATGCTTATGTCTCTACGCAGCTGTCCAGGAATTCTATCAATAAGATGTGCGCACGTTATCTATTTTGTGGCCACAAATTAGCATTTCGTGCGCACGTTATACCTATTTCGTGCCCTCGAAGTAGTATTTTGTGGCCACAATTTATTTATTTTTTGGACCATGTCATCAGAGGGGCTCCGTAGATTCAAGTCTAACCAGAAACTAACCTCTCATGTGGTATCGCTAAAACACTGGAGTGTTGACTTTTCTGTGGGACTCTGTGCAATAATAAAACTGTTATCTACAACTTTATTGTACACACATGAATAATACTTTGGGGTTAATGGGGAACAAAATGGGTAGAAAAGGAAGTCATAGTGAGGGCCAGTTTCCACTTTTTATCTCTGAAGTGCTTGTTAATTTATCACAACATCCATCCATCTTCTTCTACTTGTGTAATTCAACAAGGAGAACTGGAAGCCAATCCAAGCTAGTGAGAAGTGAGGTGCACAGGGTGACAGCACATCACAATACACCAGTTTATAAGGGAAACCTAGATAGTACTGGGTTGTTGCTGCACAGCCACGACGTGAATCCTCTGTTCTGCCACATCTCAAAGGTGCTCTGTTTGATTGTGACTGCAGAGGCCGTTTGAGTACAGTGAACTCATTGACAAGCTTCATGATAAGGTCAATGGTCATAGAGGGAAAGAGGAATAGATATGGTCAGCAACATTACTCAGGTAGACTATGCTCAGTTGCTACTAGAAAACATCCCACATACCATTAAATCACTGCCAGCTTGAACTGTTAATTCAAGGCGGGATGGATCCATGCTTTCATGCTGTTTATGCCACCAGAAATCAAAATTTATCAGAGCAGTTAACCTTCTCCTAACCTTCTATTGAGCAGTTTAGCCTCAGTTTCCTGTTCTCAGCTGACATTAGCCACACCCGGCGTGGTCTTCTGCTGCTTCGAGTTCTGAAGTGTTGTACCTTCAGATATGCTCATCTGCATACTTTGGGTTTAACACGCGAATATTTGAATTACTGTTGCCTTCCCAGCTTAAAGCAGTCTGACCATTCCCCTATATCACCAATAAGACATTTTTTCCTCCAGAGAAATTTGAGATATTTTATCTTTTTCTAGAGATGGTCGTGCAGGAAAATCCCAGTAGATCAGCAGTTTCTGAAATACTCAGACCACATTCGAAGTCACTTAAATCACCTTTTCCCCCTCTTATCCTGCGTTTACCTTTGGGAGGATCTTTCACAATGACACGACTGTCAGGCTTGTGAGTGTATGGAAATAAAAGTTTAATATACAAGCATTTACCTAAACAAACACATTTCTCTTCTTGAGCAATACAGTTTGGAGAGCATAATGTTTTGTTGTGATCATATAGTCTTTAAAAAGAAGAAAAAACATTTAATGCTCAGACAGGGTCAAATCCCAGCTGTGATCTCTCACCACGACTTTCTGTCTGTAATGTCATCCAACTTATGGTTTCTTAGGTTTGGCTTTAGGGACCACTTTAATGGTTGTGGATGCTGATTTGGCTCCTTGCATGTTCTGAGCAGTGCAGGTGTACGTTCCTTGGTCCACGTCTCTAACTTCATCCACGAGGAGCACAGACTGAGACTGCTGCTGAGCAGTTCCTCCGCTGACCGGAATAACGCTCTCCTGTGTGTATGGAGGTCTCCCAATCTGGACCAAGCATAGGAACACACACACACACACACACACACACACACACACACACACACACACACACACACACACACACACACACACACACACACAGCACAGGAGTAAACATTACAATGAGTTATCATGTTGCAGTTTATTTCCTCATGGCTCACCAATAAAGACATATCTATTATATTCCTGTTTAAAGGGGATAAGGTTCAGGCAGTCCATAGGTTGAATACTTTTTGACTAATAATAAACTCGCTAAAAAGGCAACGCAAGCTAAACCGACTGAAGATATTTGCCAACTGCAGGACTTTTTTTGAGTAGTATTTCAGTTCACAACCTAGAATTCATGTTCATACTATTTCAGAAAGAAAGCTTATTAGAATTAATACAAAAGTCATACAGAACTAAGCTAAGTTTGTATTAAAGCATACAAGCCCTGTTTCCACGAGTGTCTGACCTCTTCTCCTGGGTAATCCCAGGTGAACTCTATGGCCACGTCTCGTTCTCCCATCGCAGAGCAGGTGACACGTAGATTCTCCCCCACAGTCACTGTGCTCAGTGACGCTTGGATCACTGGAGCGGGAGGAGCCCTAGGATCTGAGAGCAAATGTGATGTATTAGTAAGTAAAATGTTGTGTCGTCACCAGTAATCCTGTAATTAAGGGTAATTTTCATCCTTAACTTTCAAAAGTTTTCATTGATTTACAATAAAAAAAACAACCCATAAATTCTAAAATTCTGAAAAAATTTCTAAATTTTTGAAAACGTGAACTCACAGTTAACATAGATGAGCATGTACTTCATAGAGCTCTGCCGCAGGTTTCCCAGACTGGCAACACAGTACAAAGCTCCAGCATGATATGGCCGAGGTCGATGGATTGTGAAGCCCTTCTTGACATCAAAGGAGATCTCCCTCCTGTCCACGTCCAGCTCCACAGGTGGGTACTCACGGTGCAGAGTTACTTTAGCCTCAGGTGACGTCACCTGACAGGGTAGGACTGTAGGCCAGTTGCTCCTCAGCTGAATCACCTTGTAATAGTCAGACGATGGAACAAATAGTTCTTGTGGATCTGGTCCGTACAGAGAGGAGATATGGCAGATTTATGATAAGATTATTAAAATGTAAAAAAGATTCCTGTCAAGTCTGCAGTTCAGAGAAATGCAAGCCTAAGCATCAATAAAATGTATTAATCACACCTGGAAAAAAGACGAAGACTTTAACAGCTTTGCTGTATTCCTTCCTGCAGTCAGTGTCTTCACAGTACATCGGGTAGCATGTGTACTCCCCCGTGTCTGCACCAGTGGTGTTGACCAACGTCAGAACCCCATATCGCTCATACTGGACAATTCTGCACAGCCAGAGCAAAAAGGAGCGAAAGAACACATTTACTTCCTTACTTACTCAAGCTTATACTGCACTTTATGAGTAAAGATCTGTAGACATGAAAAGTTACCTGAGCCTCCCATCATTATCCTCCTCCAGGTATGGGGGGACGCTCCACTGCACAGGTTTGCCCCTGCACCTCAGCTCCAGAGTATCTCCTGTTTGCACATTTATGGTCTCACCCACCTTCTTAAACTTCCCTTTGTTTAACACCTTTATTAGTCAGACACAGACATGTACTTTAGTCGTGAACTTTGCAAAATCAAAAAGTTAATTTATGACAAACGTAATACCTGCGTGAGGAGGGTCTGCTCTGCACGTGCAGCTTTGACCTTCGGTTTGACTGTTATCGTTCTGGGCCCTTTGTTTGTTGATTTCTCATGCTTTGGTTTCCTTGGCTTTGGTGTCCTTCCCGGAACAGCCTTCTGCTCTTGGGCATCTTTTTGGCAATATTATACACAGTACGCAGAGCACATGTTTCAGAATATTTTACAAACAAAGACAAGGCTGCTACAAGTGAGAAAAAAAGTATCATTTTTGCTTCTAGAATAAGCCACATTGTGCAAAAGACAGAAAGAAAATTGCCCTCCTCACCAAATCTATGAATATCACGTTCACCGAATTGGATGACAAGGGACTAATGTCACTTACCCAACTCGAAGATTAAGGCACAAGTAAGGAGAGCAATGAGTACCAGCCTCCACTTTGACCCAGACATGTTCGCCAAAGGCATGGCTGATGAGCTGATTGTTAGTTCATGGAGTTCAACCCAGAGAAATATACAACAGAAATGAAAAGGAGAGAAGAAGAAAGAGAAGGAAGGAGGAGGGCAAAGCTTGCAAAGTGAGCAGTCTGCTGTTTATTAGAGTCACGCAAATTCCTTTTCCTCGGAGTGGCATTAGTACCCTAAATTCCTTCAGTGTGGCTCAATGGAGGCTTTCAAGCCTGTCCGAACCAATGAGGGTCCAGAGAATGAGGCCCCTCCAATCTGGAATGGCACAGCCTGTTTATTTAGCTGCTGGACTGTAAGTGTACTAGCAGCATGAGTCTGAACCTTAGATACACTGCCTGGAAAAGGAGCATTTGGTGTTTAATACACTTTATGTCCTTCATTACTGTTTTTTATGGGTAAATAAAAGTTTTGTCTCAGTTAGCTCTAGATTAATATGTTGTTGTATTTTAAATATGCCTGAAAGATTTGCACCTAAAATATTCACACATTACTTAAAGTACATTTTTGAGATGTCGAATGCAGTGGAAACAATGTAAACCTTTTCTTGTGAGTGGCCAGCTAAGCTGTGATTTTGAACATGACCGCTATAAGCTTCTTTTCAAAGGTCCTTTTGTTCTCAGTCGACTCTAAATAGTGAGCCATATCTGCTTCTTTGTGCACGTCTGCAGTGGGAATGAACTTATAGTAGTCCTTTATTTTTACCTCTTTATCGACACAGACTGCAACAAGGTAACTCCATATTTAAGTGTTTTACAAAAGCGAATCATTTCATTTTTAATTCAAGTGTACAGTGGCAGTCGTTTAGTTAACAATCACATGCAGTTTCCATATTTACAAATGGAAGATGAAATCCCATAAAAGGTTTTCTGTATCAGCTCTGTAAAATATAAGGTCTTCAGTCAAATTCTGCACATTTAAAAAAATATATTAAAATAAAATTAAGATGATGTAAAACTGAAATAAAAATAATTTACATTTTGCACTTGATAAGAAAAGTGTAAACCTGTTATTTCAGAATTATAAAAGCAAATAATCTACAGAATATTTTTTCTTTGGAACAGGCTCACTAATACGATAAGATATACAGATAAATATCCTTAACAACAATGTGAAAATCAGTGATAAGTGAAGATCTTCTCGGTCCAAATATATCTTAGGGAGTGTTTCATTTTGGACCATTTAGATAACAAACAGACTGCGTTAGGATGTAATAAACCGTCAAGTTAACAAGTTATCAGGCCATTTGCTTCGGTGCTGTCGTAGATTGAAGACTGCTGAAAGGCAGCAGCACCGGTGCATCTCAAGCAGTGGTTATAAGTTAAAGCAAGTCGCTCACTGTAACATCTCAGTTTATCTGTCTTCACCCCGATTGAGCTCAGAATTTCTCTTCTTTCATACTATCCTTGTCTGTTTTGCCGCTGACTGTTTCGATCTCTGCGTGGTCGGTCATGAGTCGCTTCCTCTGGACGCTGTTACGCATTCCATAGATAAAATAGATAAGTAACCCTGCAGAAGAGAAGAAAAGAGAAGAGTGAGGGTCCCCCAGCTAGATAGCATCCCTTTAATCCTCTCAAACAAAAATATACCCATCATACCTATTAGCATCCAGACAGCATATCGGATCCATGTTTGACCGCCTAACTGCACCATCAGGTAGACATTGATTAAAGTACTCAGTAAGGGCAGAAGAGGGATTAAAGGTACCTGAAGAAGGAGAAAATGCAGAGATGTGAGATTCCTAGTTGGTGATTACAAGAAATTACTTGAACCACTTCTTACCATGAACGATGCCTTCGTGGGATTCTCTGGGTGTCTCCAGATGAGGAACAAGTTGACCAGCAGGAGCACTCCAAAGATACAGACAAGCACGATGCTCCATGCTTGAGTGTTGGCAAGAGCTTCCATGCCTTGGCTCAGAGTAATGCACAGTGCAAGAATGCACAGAACTGCAGTGGGAAAGTAAAAGACGAGAAAGAAAGATTAGAGGCGAGAAAGCCCGTCGTGAACCTGTTGCTGGTCAAGAAAAGAACTTCAGTGCTACAGAAGCATCAGTAAAGATGCCTCAGTGATGTTTTCCTTACTTACTAGAAAATATGGTCAAGAGCGTGACTGTTCGTGCTGTGGAAGAGTTGGGTGTTTTTGGAGGTTTGAAGAAGCTAAACTTTTTCTTTGATTCTGTGATCTTAAGTTCTGTGTCTTCAGATGGACCCACCTGGTACCTACAACGACCACAAAAAATCAGTCGATTTGCACAGCAGAGTGAATACATAGCTGCAGGGTGTTAACAGATAAATGTACCTCAGTATCAGGATGCATACTGCCACGAGTGTGTAAGCAAACAGAGTACCAATGGACATCAGTTCCACCAAGGCATTCAGATCAAACAGTAGAGCCATGATGGCTAAAGCCAGGGAGAAAAATGGAATTAAATGTTATTTCTAGCCCATAAACCTCGACCTCTGTGGATCATGCAGAACAGCATTAGCATAAGTACAAAATATTATACACATGACACCTACGGGAGTTGCTCTGCTCAGCTATAGAAACCTACATCATGAAGCTCCTGGCACACAGTTTTTGTGCTGATGTTAATACCAGAAGAGGTTGGAGTCATCAGTGTTGGTTACTTTTTCTATGGTGGTATCCTATTACCGTACCACAGCATACCACTTAAGTCCAGTAAGCTCTTTAGAGAAATGTTCACACGCGATTGTACAGGCAGACTGCATGGCTGGATTCCAAATGCATATTGCAATGACAATAAAAAGAGCTGAATTCATAGATTAAGAGAGAGAGTTAGAGAGACTTTATTTATCCCCAAGGGGCAATTAAGATAGATACCCTGCCAACCGTACATACAATACGCAAACACACAAGGTGTGGCACAGTACCTCTGTGTAAGCATCTGTAAGCATCATTAAAATAAGAGTTATTACTGGACACATTCAAAAGTATTTTATTACATGTACTATTTTTTGTTTTAGGTTTATTACTTCTATTATATTTACAGTACTTTTATTTATAAAGTGTATACCTGTACCTGCCACAATGCCAGATGATATAGTAGCTATTGCTGGACTGCCTCTGGAGGTGACTTTGGACAAAGGTTTGAAAAGCAGCCCGTCTCTCGCCATGGCAAAAAGTACTCGAGGCATCGGGAACATGGAACCTAGCAGACTGGAAAGACAAACAACAAAATGAATGCAGTGTCCGATTAATTTGTAATCTAAATTAGTCATTTCACAAATCAGTGTCAAAAGGTCACTCTAACTAAACCAACTGATTTGACATATGGATTCTTTTTAACAGCTTAATCTGCTATGATGACTGAAGTCAGAAGAATTTACTGGCAATTTCACAATTTATCCACCTCGCAAACATCAGAGGCAGTGGAAGAATCATTCACAGCCTCTGGAACCTGACACATCCTCCACGCCTTGTCTGTTAATTATTACTCAGCTGAGTTATTTTACGTTAACGTTACATTGTTAATGAACTTTTTGAGTTAGCTACTGTTTAGTAGCTACTTTTCTAGATTTATTTTTCAACATTTTGGACTTTTGAACATCCATTATAATTTTTCTATTTTTTTCCAAATAACATACATTTATTTTTGCACCTTTTTCTTTCTGACTTTGAGCTTTAAACATCACTTGATCCATGCATGCACTACCCATACTGTCATACCTAGTTGACAGGGCGCACAGTGAACCCACAGCCACGGCATATTTGGCAGGACCCCATCCAATGTAGTCAAAGGCTATTGGCAGTGGGCTCGTTTCACTTAGCAGGTAGTAGGGCATCATAAGGGTGAGAGCAGCAGACACAGCAAAGTAGGCCAGGAAACATATAAGCAATGAGACCACAATGCTAATAGGGACAGACTTCTTCGGGTTCTTCACCTCCTCTCCTAAAAGAAAGGAAACCAAGAAGTTAGTGACCCCCTTACAAGATATATCTCCTGCAGGAGTTTCATGCATTGTTACACAAAAATCATAAAAACTAGTGGAGAGAATCATCTGCAAATTATGTCCTCAATGTTAAACTTTGTCAGTCTGTTTTAGCCAATAAGAAGTTATCCCACTTCAGTTATTTATTTATTTTTGCTACAAAATGGAATTGTCAAGCATACCAATACAGTTACTGAAACCTGCCATAAATGTTGCGTTAAGACGGAGACAATCTGCTATCTCACTGCAATTATATGAGGTCAGTTTGGAAATTACATGTAATCTGTGTCTGATAACACAGACAGAATTTCAAATCTAACTATTAATCTGCACTTCCTGTTCTATAGGAATGCAACCAGCTGCAGCCAGCTGAGTCCAGTTCCCTCGAGTTTTTCTCATTGACATCTGACTGATGGCAACATGCTGGCAATCTGCCTGCATTTATAAATCAAATGCAAGTTATTTGTAAATTTGTAGAGCTCTCTGAGTGATTACAGTCGGTCCAAGTCCAACCGTGATTATTTACAGGAAGATTGTTCGTTGTTCATATTATTCCCAGAGTGTTGTCCCTGCATCGATATAATATTGCCACACAAAATATTGCGATACAATAGCGTACTGTATCGATTTTTCTAACCCTTTCCCAGCACCACTAAAAAAATAACCCCATAAAAATGTAAAGAATCTATGGTGAAAATTAAAAAGTTTATAAAATTTAAAATAAAAAAGTGGAGGAAGTTTATTTTATTTTTAGTGTGCTTTTTTAATGAGTGTAGAGGAAATACTCATCGTTAGAATTGTAATTTACTCCTCTCTGGAAATAAAGCACTATTTCATCCATTATCCACGATTGCAATATTTTTTCCATCCATTCATTCTCTTCCAATTATCTTTGTCCTTTATGTTATGTTATGTTATGTTATGTTATGTTATGTTATGTTATGTTATGTTATGTTATGTTATGTTATGTT